GACTACTGGCAGGATCAGCCGTGTTGCATCGCCACAAGCACAGAACTTTGGAGCTGAACCGGGAAGGAGCGAGCAGCACCACTACGCTTACGCCATTTGCATTCCGGGGTCTCCTTTGAGCTGGACAACCAACCTTAAGCCTTAAACCCTAAACCCCACGACCAGAAAGCCGACTACCTAACCCCTGGTCTTTCTTTCAGGGGAAATGGCAGGCAACCAGGTAGGAACTGCGATCTTCTGTCGGTCTTGCTCTCAACACGAAGGATTCTGTTCATTCCGGTCCCTTTCACTGTAAAGCCCTCATGGCAAGAGCGACCGGTTTGGTCAACAAAACATATTGCAGAATGTTGTCCATCAGCTGTGTCTTTTTGCGTGGTGCGTTTATCCGTCGGGACGGCAAAGCGCAGCATTGTTTGCTAACCCCGCTTGGCTGTGGGTAGTGTGGCTGGCCTACTCCGGCTCTGCACGGTCACCAGACATCCTACATGCTAGACTGCCAGGGTTTAAGGTTCTTGTCGGAGTTGTCTGCGTCTGTGTGCTTGACCTCCCTGTCCGGGGTTTCGGGGTGGCGGCGTAACCCCAAATCTGGCCAACCTTCGTCAGGAAGCCGACATGGCCGAGGAAGGAATGGAGCCACTCTGGCGCCGCCCTGAGCGACAGAGATGAGGCTTACGGCTTAAATCCTAAGCCCGGAGCTGTTCACCCTCCACGTCCACAACCAAGCCCCCAACCCCAAGGCCCTTGGCCCTAAACCCTAACCCCAAAATCCGACAACTCAACAGGCCCCCGTCTCTCAACTCGACCTCTCGCCCCCCCAACGGCCCCGACTGTTCACTCTTCCCGAGGGCGCTGGCAGTTCCAGCACTTTCAGCCGCGCGGCTGCTCTCGTGCGACGAGATATGGGAGGTCCCTGTGCTTTGATTCTTTTGCCTGTTGTTGTAGGGTCCCCTGTCGAGTTGAAATTAAGGTTTTGTTCCATTTGGATTAAAAGCATACGGAGCGGTGTTACGTTTGAGTCCAGGTTTCGTCGACGCTCAGGGTGCAGCGCCGAGGGAACGCTAATCCTGCGACAATGGTGCAAGTGATAGTACCTTACAGTGAGTTTATAGCTTTACAGTACTGTTATAGCCTAATATAGTAGTATATTGTAGTAAAATACAGTATGTGATCGTAGATTATGACCGCTGTACGATGAGTATGCGCTGGTATATCCTCGTATATTCTTCGAGCGCAGTTCTCAGTAGAAACGAGGCTTGGGTTCTGCTGGTCTGCTGTCGCCGTTCGGCCTTCACTCGTAGGACTGCATTTTCCAATGTCGTCTCTCCTTTTCCGATGGGGCTCTGTCCTGATAGCAGTGGAGGGTCAGGATCCTGACAATGCGTCTATGTCCTTAACGGATCGTGCAGGCGGCCCCACTTTCGATTTTGGGCTTTTGGATGTAGGAACGCTACACCATCAATTCCAATTGCATTGTCCGAGACTTAAGTCAAAGCTTAGAATGCAAGGCTTCAGGGTAAAGGGTCTAAGCCTAAGCCGTAAGCCCAAGTCCCAACCACAGCTATAGGTGACCTTAACAACACGCAGCCTGCACCTCCCAAGCACCAAAGCTTACATAAGTCCCCTAACCGAACCTCTAGTAGAGCCCTCCAGCCTCAATCCGACATCCAAATTGACCCTTCAACCCCCATCGAATTGAGTCGGCGCTGCACTGTCTCGGCCTCTTGGCGTCGTCAGCAAGTTCCTGCTCTAGCCCAGAGAAGGCAGCAAGAGTGTTGCAGTTGACTGGTGCTCGCAGCAGCAGCGAGTAGCAATAACAGCCGCAGCAGCAGTGGTGGCGGCGGCAGCAGCAGCAGCAGCAATAGCAATAGCAGTTGCAGCATTGGGCACTACTGTTGCAGTTCACGGTAATGGCAGCATCGGAGCTTCCGTGGCGAGGATCACCGTCGTTCCTATAGCACTCACATTCGCATAGTTGACATCAGCCTCATTACCACTACTCCTACCGCTTGGATCCCTCTGCCGTGCCGTTCTCCTGCGCCCGGCGTGGATGGAGTTTGTGCAGAAGGCCGTTCGCGCGAAGCAATACCGGGGCGATGAGGGCCAAACTTTCAAGCTCAACGGCAAGATGCTCAATGCCTCCCTCAAGGTTGGGCTTGGGTGCCTCTAAGAAGCTCAATTGGCTTTATCCAAAAGGGCGCTTCGTTTTGCTTTAACTCGCCTAAAGAGAGTAGCATATGGGTCCACGAGCCGTTGCAGGGTGCCGTGATGCTGCCAACGGTGCCGACTCCCGAGCGTGCTCGCGGCCGCGACGGCCGCGATTCGCCTGGGTTGCGGCCGGAGATCGTAGCCCTGGACACCTTGGAGGCGGTGAGGCAACTGGCGCAGGAAGGCTTCTTGGACCCGGGCGTCCTGGTCTTCGCGAGCGACACGAATCCGGGCGGGAGCCGCAAGGGAGCCAACATCGGAACCCAAGAGGAAGCTTTGTGCCGGCTCTCCACCTTGAGGCTCGCGCAGGAGCAGCTGGAGTATCCCATCCCAGTCTTAGGCGTGGCCTACGTCCCCCAGGTCCAAGGGCTGCGCCTTGACTTAAATGGTCAAGGCATCTGTGATCTGAGCGTCAGCTGCGGTGCCCTTCTTAGTAACTTCTTTCCCAGCTTCTTGGGAAGCCACTTCTGATGCTCAGGCTCCCTTCGGGTGTGGTCGGCTTCGGCGCCATCTGCTCGGCTTTGCGCCAGTGCCTGGCAGATGAGACCCCCACTGCCAAGGAGGCCAAGTTTTTGGAGGCTGGGAGCCAAGCGGCTTTTTGCACCGGGACCGGCCGGCATGTGTATGAATCTCCCATAGAGTGTCCTTTTGTAGAAGCCCAAATTTGAAGTTCTTGTTTGCTCAGCAGGCCAAGGTGGCCAGTGTGCTTGGGACGGCTGTGGCTTTCGGCCACCGCAGCCTCGTGCTGGGAGCCTGGGGCTGTGGGGCCTTTGGCAATCCACCCGCCGCAGTCTCCGGTGCCTTTGCCGCTCAGCTCCAAGTCGAGGCCTTTCGGGGTGCCTTCGATCGCGTCATCTTCGCAATCCCCGACGACGCGCTGCGCCGGGCCTTTGCTGACACCTTTGGGGAGACCTTTGGCGAAGCTTTGGCCATGCCACCGTAGTGCCGTGCAGTGCCGTGCAAGCATCCGCCGAGCAGAAGCCACGACTCCCGCCCAACGATTTCCTGGCCACAGCAAACACCAAAGCAGAGCCGAACCTCCCTGGATGGAAGCTGGAAGCCTCATGGCGTCGATCTCGTGAAGCTGCAAGTTGCAAGCAGGACAGTTTAGCTTTGGGCCTACCAAGCTAAAAATCTGCGTAGCCTTCACAGTGTACAGTGTACAGGATGAAAAGCTTTGCTGAAGACAGTCAAAAGCAGGGCGGAGGCTGCTCGTTTTGGTGCAGCCTTGAAGACACAGACACACACACACACACACACATTGACATGTATGTGTATACATTGTAGACATACATATATATATATATATACACATATACATACACACATACATACCCGCGCATCTGCAAAATACATAGGTAGAGGCATATATATATATAAACGTAGACATAGATATAGCTATAGATATATAACATATAATTACATACATACATACATACATACATACATACATACATACATACATACATACTGGCCTATGTACGTACACAGAAAAACCAGGGGGGCCAGGTGATGAGAGCCAGAGAACCCAATACCCCTTAAA